AAACCATTTTTTGGCCAAAAAATATATTCGGAGAACCTTGCAATTATGTCATTTTCCAAAGTTACCAATATTACTAAATATTGCCCTTTTGTAAGTTTTGGTTTTGGTTCCACTTTACAAGTTCGTTCATCTCCCCGTTTGGCCACCATCTCTAAAAATGACAAAAAACCATTTTATGGCCAAAAAAAAATTATTCTTAGAACCTTGCAATTATGCGCTTTTCAAAAGTTATCAATATTACCAGAATCGCCCTTTTGTTAATTTTGAGGGTTGGTGCCACTTTACACACCCGTTTACATCCTTGTTTGCCCAGCTTCCCTAAAAATGGCAAATAAACCATTTTGTGGCAAACAAAAAAACTATATAGAGAACCTTGCAATTACGTTCTTTTCAAAAATTACCAATATTACCAAAATCGTTTGGTAATTTTTAGTTTTGGTGCCACTTTACACGTCCGTTTACCTCTCCGTTTGCCTAACATCTCTAAAAATGACCGACAACCCAATTTATGGCAAAAAAAAAAAAATTATTCAGAGAACCTTTCAGTTATGCCCCTTTCCAAAGTTACCAATATTACCAAAATCGCCCTTTTTGGTAATTTTGGGTTTTGGTAACACTTTACACACTCGTTTACCTTCCCGTTTGGCATTTACCGATCATCCCTATAAATGACAAACAATTTTGTTGCCAAAAAAATTTATTCGGAGAACCTTGCAATTATGTCCTTTTTCAAATATACTAATATTACCAAAATCGTCATTTTAATGACATGAGCGTCATAGTGTTTCCTATCTTGTGCAGGTCATACCTTAACGAGGCTTTTCAGCTATACCACGTGTCTGACCTTGATCAGTTCAGACTTCAGTTTTTCGCAGAATCATATTTATTTGTTTTCTCTAATAAATGTATTTTGAAATGTTTTTGTCTATTTTTTTCGAGGAATCTTGTTCAGGTTTCTCCTCATTGTTGAGAAGTCAAGTATTTTCCATTATTTTCTTATCATAACTTTCTACTTTCTATTTTTTTTTCTCTAACATGTCTTCTCCTCTCAATTTACTCTCTCTAAAATATTCTATCTTTGTTTTTAACTTTCCTCTCACTAAATTTTTTTTCTCTTTTCTCTCTCTAAAATTTTTCTTTAAATGTTTCTTTTTATCTCTCTAAACTTTTATTTTCACGTTGCTACATTAGGCATGATAAAAATTCTCATGATCCCGCTCCAAGAATCGTGAATAGATTTTTCATCATGTTTCAATCCTGTCCCCATTCCATTTTTTAAGTAATTAATATATTTTTTATTAACTATTTTCGTAAATTAAATATTTTTAAAAAGTAATTATTTATAGTAGTAAAAATTTTACGATATAAGTTATATATATTTATTACTCTTGTATTTTTTAAATGCTTAGAATAATTAAAATTAATTTATAATCCGGTAATTCTTTCCAGTGAAGATCATCGTCCCTTGATGAGAATTCCTAACCCTTAATTACAAGAATTTTTTGTCTATCCTGCCATTATTTTACCAGAAAAAGAAAAATATTGAAAGAAACTACGTCTCACGACACATTTATAAAAAGCATGAGAAATAATGAACGGGGTTGAATATTGTAATAATACTTCGGGAGTAGTTTTTCCCAGCGCATTTAATAATGTATCAGGAGATGTATTTTTCCCCACGTTTTATTCATGCTTCGGGAGAAGTAGTTTTTCCTTAAGCTTTTAATAATGCGTCCGGAGAAGCAATTTTTTTTCGTCAGCATTGTTCTTCTGACGACCCTATGCCAATTCATTCCAAAAAAACTTTTGCCCGACTATTTTTAAACCTTTGCCTACGTTTTTCTGCGTCGACAAAAACTTATTTCTAATAGTTTTGGACCTCAATTTCAAAAATCAAAGAACATAGTGGAGACAAAGACAATTCCAGTGAAGACGAGGATGGGAAAGCACATCCCGACTGTCACCTTCATCGTTGTCATATGTACTTTACATAGATTTTTCTCACTTTAATATATCTCTTTTAACTTTCTAACATATTTGATTTTTTATTTTTTAGAAATAAAAAACAAAAATATTTATCAAACATATATGATTTATTTTTTAAAAACAAAAAACAGAAAACCAAAAAAGTGAAAAACAAAAATCAATATCAAACAAGTCCTAAATGAACAATGAAGGTCAAGTTGGGTAACAAGCCTTCCTATACTTTGGAGGAACATCTTTTGGGGGCGAGAACTTTTTGAGAAGGGTTAACGTTAGCAAGTCGACAATGGGCACAGTATCACTATAGGCTCAGATCCCTGGATTCTTAGAGACGGCAACTTCAAGCTCATATACACACCGAGTAATATTCGAGATTTTCATGTTGCTTGGTTGCAAGTTAAGAGGAGAACTTGGGATGTGGAGAAAATAAGAGATCACTTTATTCCCATTGAGGCAGAGCAAATACTCCAAATTCATCTTCCTAGGAGTGACGTGGACGACGAAATCATTTGGGGGTTTGACAGGAAGGACATATTCTTTGTCAAAAGTACTTATCATTTGGGAATGAACGTACAAAATAATTTAGAGGCCCTTCTTCTTCCAATGCAGATGTACAGACTAATCGGTGGAAGTGGCTTTGAAATGCTAATATGGTGCTCAAGATAAAGATTGCATGCTGGAAGATGGTGAAAGACATAATTCCTCTTAAAATAAACCTTTGTAAAAAAGGAATTTATACTGATTTGTGTAGTGTGTTTTGCAGGAAGAACGAAGAATCTACGACCCAATTGTTTTGGGACTGTAAGGTATCAAAATCGTTTTGGAAAAATCTCCTAAGTTCTTATGTGGTTCTCTATTCTCTTGACAGGCGATGCTGGAAAATTTAGAACTACTGGGATTGGATGCTAGACAATGCGACCACGGAGGAGGTGGAGATGTTGATGATTGGTTCATGGGTAATTTGGACATATAGGAACAACGTGATGTTCAAAAGGGAGAGTCCTAATCCGCAAACTCTTATTAACAATGCCAGGAAAGTCATTACAGAAAACAATACAAGATCGGATCGTCAAATCACCACCATAGATACAACACCACAATTGCGGAGTCTCTATGGCAAGAACTACCTAGATCCCTCCTCCTCCTTATACATGGACATTGAATACCGATGCAGCCTAGTCGAAGAACTAGCAAGCAAGGAGACTTAGGTGGGTTTTGCATAACTGGGAAGGTGTCATTATCCTTGCAGGCACCCATTTCGTCCACAACTGTACGAGTGTGAAGATGTTGGAAGCAATGGCCGTTAGGAAGGATTGCAGAATTTGCAGCTTATGGTTTCTTATCCTATACAGGTGAAAACTGACTAGTTAGAGGTAGCTAAGTTGTTGCAAAGAGGAGATGATGATCTTACTGAAATAACGTTGGTTATCAAAGAAATATTATATCTTCAGGATGCATGTGGCGTCATCTCATTTAATAAAGTGAAGATGGTAATTTTTGTGCTCACTATCTAGCCGCTTTGGAACTAGAGGAGAGTGTATATTGGATTTCATGTATTCCTAATTGGCTGGTCCTTGTAGCGAATCACGATCATATTCCTTCTTAATAAAAGTTTCTTTCCTTTCTAAAAAAAATAATAATAATAAAATAAAATTTATAGTGTTTAACACTACTATTTAATTATTGTGAGCGTTCAAAATGTCGATGTCGATGGAAATGTCGATGTCCCGATTTTAAGGACATGTCGATGTCGATGGATATTTCGGTGAAAATAATGGAAATTGTGGAAATTGATAAAACTTTTTTGAATTAGCAAATAAAACTTGAATGGTAGCTTAATTAACCTATAATTGATCACTTTTAACCATTAAATGTAAGAATATGATCATTTTATTTATGAAAATGTCGACGTCGATGGAAATATCCGAGAAAGATTTTTTTCTTTAAAGAATGATGAAAATTATTTAAATAGGTAATGTAAACTTTAATTGTAAACTTTTGATTTTTAGAGTATTTCATAATAGGACTCATTTGAAAATGAGATAATTACCCACTTGATTTCCAAACGCATTTCTAAATTCTAATTAACTCGTACCTTTTTATTTTTTCCCTACTTCTCTTTTCAAATTTGAATTTACACCTTTTTCAAACACATTTTCAAATTAATCATCAATCCAACTTTCCAATCAAATCTAAACAACTTCCAAACACATCTCTAATTCACCCAAATTATTCTCTCTCTTTTTTTTTTCTTTTTTACTTTTTACCAACTTTTCTTTTCAAAATTGAATTTACACATTTTCAAATCAATCATCACAATTTCCAAACACACTCTAATTCACTCGTATTACTCATTTGAACAACTACCTTAAAAAAAAGTTGACCTAAGAAAACTATTGTAATTTATATCAAAGTTATCAAAATAGTGCACTAGATCCTCCGATATCATCTTTTTGGTATTAATTAAGTTATGTATTCTATTTCATGTATCATCATTATTTGTATATAATAATATTTTATTTTTTAAAATTTCTAAGATTATTTAAATCTTCATATATGTTAATATTTCACATATATTGCTGACTTTGTAATTAAAGGCTAGATTGAATTAGAAATTATCCATAAAGCAAATTATGAATCTTATTAGTTATATAGTATTAAAATGCGAATATTACATTAAACAAACTAAGATTACAATCAGAACGAAAATAAAATAATCCTAAAAAAACGACATGTCGATGTCGAGCATGCCAACACGTCGACATATCGCTCGACTTTTTGAACTATATGATTATTGTTTAAAATTTATACTGGTTTATCCTCATTTTTTTAGTATATACCTGTTTTACGCTCAAATACACTTTACTTATGTTACCCTACAATTTTAATTACTTTAAAATTGTGTGGTATGTACTTATTAATTTTTAAACAAAAATTGTTTATACTTTTTTATTTAATGTAATAAAAAAAATCGAGCAAACAACATTAAAAGATATGGTAAGAGATAAAAGAAAACATTTTATTATAACACGATGGAGATAAAACCTCGTTTCTTTATTGGAAAAAAAATACATTTGTTAACTAAAAATGTAAACTTTATATTCAAGTCATAAAATATAGCTACCTTCGAAATTGTCCAACATTTGATGTTCCTTTTATCTATCCTTATTGTTAATTAGTGATCAAAAACAGTAAGCAAGATGCCCAAGATACACCTCTTTTCCGTGCAAAACTTCACTCACCAGGACATTTGACATTATCAATCAGCCAAAATATAAGTCTTATCTTCATAGTATCTTCTTTCGCTATTTGCCTTCTTCTCATTGCGCTTCTGCATGAAATTTGCTCGTCTTTAGAACTCAGAATAGAAAGACAATAAGCATATCAAGAAAGCAAACACAATGAAACATCAATCTAAGGATAATTATGAATAATTAGAACAAACTTCAGACGGCAAAAGGCAGCACTAATTTTGATATTGAACTTAATGAAGAGTTCATAAACTTCCAATTATCCGCCAGCTCTGAAGATTTTGCACTAGAGTACTTATCTAGCTTAGTCTAACTACAGCCCACCTCCTCCACGTCACACCTTTCATTCCACCACCAAGCCCAACCATTTGTCGAAAATGACTACTCCACCTAACAACGTCTACTTCCTAAATTCACACTTTCCTCCTAGCGTAGGTGAAATCAGTGGATAGTTCAACGTGTATATCATCAGTAGGCCACCCAAATCTCCACCTTGTCTTCAGGGTGAACTGTAGGAAACAACTGAGTTAGTAGATTGAAGGCTTTACTAAAGTCCAATGGCAAGGATATAGTCAGATCATCCAAAAGAAGCTAGGGTTTAGGTAGTAGTGGGTGCAGCAAGTCGACTGGAGAAACGACCAAATACTTGTGAGACAGATACCTCAAACCCAACTGCAAATTCACTTACATATTTCCTTATTCCATACAGCCATTACTTCATTTTACATATTCCATCTTCATCCCTTGTCCCTCCTTTCAAGTTGCTTAGAGCAAGTTTTCTCCCCAGTTTTGAGCTTCACGTTGAGAATTTTCCTCCCTTAATGGTCTTCCGTTACCAACCATTGAACCTGGTTATTTAAATTGCTCATGATATAACCTAAATTCATCCGTTTTCTATTCAGTGCTGTTTTGGGTTTAATTGTTTTAGATTTTGAGCTCCTAATTTCCCTTTTGACATGGAAATCAAAAATCATGAAACGCAAGCTGAATAGTTCAAACTACTACTAGTTATAAATTGGTGAAATAATTACTCAAAATTTGGAACTTATATACTCTGGAAAGAGAAAGAGACAAGTAAACAAGATGTATCATGCGTGCAAATCCCTTTATCTAGTAGAAAAGGGCGAAAAGTTCATAGTGTCTTACTTTTGGTTTATTTGTGAATATTAGTTGTAATTAGTTGTAATTAATTGTAATTATTCTATTCTTATTTACCTTATTTTTATGTATTGAGCTTTCTCCTATATAAGAAGGCTATGTATTTCTTACTTTTAATATATTGGAATACAAATACTTTATTCCATCAAAATCAAGTTGGTATCAGAGTCCAAAATGCTCAAACGAGCCCCAAGATCCATGAGCCAAAAGAGCCACGATCTTGAGGGGGGCATGTTAAGGATCTCACATTGCTAAAAGAAAGGACCTTACATAGGTTTATAATAGACATAGACTACTCCTCTCATTGCCAATTGGTTTTGAGATAGAATCTCATGAATATTAATACTTACTTTAAGAAGTCTGAGCTGCCTTCAGTCAAGTTCAACTAACTCAATGGGACTCAATGGGATCAGATGACAATAATGAGTTTTCTAGTAGGTCTTTGTTCAAGATATCTAAAGATAGTAGGTACTTTGTACAGAGAACTTGCAACTTCTGTACTAGTTCAATCTAACAGTATACTTGTTAGTAAAAGTAATGATTATAAAGGTAGTTAAAAATGAGGACAAATACTTCAGGTAAAGCAAGATCCAGAAGAAATAATTTACTATTAATGTCACAAGTTAAGTCATATGAAGCGGGATTGTAGGAAATTGTTAATTAAGGGTCAAAAGACTTATTCTCCTAACTCATCGTCTCACGACATTTTTAGAAGTCTATTGTAATTTCTACAACTGAATTTGTTAAATTTTTATAGTATCAAGAACAATTGGAAGAATCATCTACCCCTGTCATGGCCAGATCTGAATTAGGTAAGATGAAAAAATGTCTTATTTCATCTCCTCCAAAAAATGTCTTATTTTATGATGTTACAAATCATATTAGAAGTAATCCTACTTTATTTTTCACTATTTAACAATCCATAAATATTACTTCATAGATGGACCAACGCCTCTGAACTTGGCTTGATGGGTTTGATATGATGGTCAGTCTCACTTCATTTTCTTTAACTTTTGTTCTAAATTTATCATATTCTCTTCTAATTTAATCTTTGTTGATAAACCCACCACCCCTATTTATAATTGCTGTGACTACTTTTTTTCTTAGTTATTGCTTGTTTCAAGAACTTGTGACAAAATAGATTAGTTGATAAAGGATGTGAATTTGGAAGACTTGACATTTTTAACCATCAGGTATCAAAGACAACATATTCTGGAGTGGCATTACCATCTGAAGCATGTTGTCATTTGGGTTATCCAACTCCTACCTCGTGTAATATATACCTAATCAGTCAAAAATATTTAGTAACACTTGATTTGAAGAGTCCTTTTGGGTTGCAGTTAAGCTTTAATGGCATAGAAAAAGGAAAAAGGCATTGAAGAAGGCAGAATTGAAAAAGGCAGAAGGGGTCTTTAATTCCCCTTGGAAAACAGAAATTAAAATGGCTCCCTTGGGGAGGGTTCCCTCAACCCTCCGCCTCTAGGATGTTGATCTGCCTTTGTTTTGAGCTCCTTTTGAATACAATCTCTTTGTTTCTTATCCAAAAAAAAAATGGCAGAATAAAAAGGCATAATTTTCAGGGTCTTTAATTCCCCTATTGGAAAGCAGCATTCGAAAGTGGCTCCTCATCTTCCAAGTGCCTGGGGTTTGGTTTTACTTTTCAAGGAGAATTTCTGATTAGGCCTCTTGTTTTTGAGGGTTATATGGAAATCTTAAAGGTCTTGTGTGGTTGAACGGGTCTGGTTTCTCTTGAATTTTGTCACTGCGGCTACTCCTCAAGATTCACTTTCAGGATGCTCTAAGGAAGATTGGCGTTCGTCTCGGTTGTTCTTGGGCCTCTTCATTAGTGGTTTTTGGTTTCTGATGTTCTTTATTTTCAATCAATCAGATTGTATTGCTCCTTATTGAGCTCGTCATTTACTACGGAGTTTGCATCTTGGACAACTTTCCTTTTCATTCATCAATAAAAAGTTTGAAAAAAAAGGTGCTTGATTTTTGACATGGAGTGCTCAACTTGCAAAATTTTACCTAAAATAGAGGTTGGTCTTATGTTAACAAAGGAAACGGGTGAAAAAAAATTCTACTCTCAATAGTATCTTGTACCAAGTTAAGTTACCTTCTTTGAAAACCCTCCCTTTTCTTCATCATCTCCCAACAGGAGTAAGGGAGAGAATGAATATCTCTCTATCTATACCATTATTTCTCCTACTTAGGTATCTTCTAAGGATCCATTTCCTTTCCCGTATAGGTTTTCTCACCCGAATTACTTCAAAGCATGCAACGGTAAGTTGTTTAGGCTTGAGTTTTACTCAAGATTGGAGGTCCTGTAACTATTTGGGGTATCTTTCTGCATTTTCTTATTCTACAAATTATATTTTGTAGCATAAGGTTCTCCGCCATCAGATTGGAGACCAAGCAATGATCTCTCCATTCCATTTTCATAAGGCAGGTCAATGCACTAACCCTTTTTCATTTTTGTCTTATAACCATTTGCAGTTAACGAAACCAGATTCATACAACAAAAACGTTGCAAGTTATCAAATACCAGCAAATATTAGATAGGTTAGAGCGGGGAACCTGGTATGCCTCATGATTGGATACAATCCTCCTAATAATAGTGGTTGTTGTGATGTCTAGCGGACTGTCTAGAATTTTGAAGATGCCCATACTAATAGGGACAGCATATGGATTGCATTCCCTCTGTAAAATACAATGTTAAGCCTTTAATAGTTATTCGACATCCACCCAATAGTGAAAAATAAAAAACACGATGTACATAGGAATCCATTGTTCTTGCAAAATTACAATTAATACCTTCTGAAAATCATTAATTTCGGCAATACTTCCATGGACTACCAATGAGATGTTAAAAGTTGTAATCTGCAGGGAAAGTACAGATAAGATCAAGCTGACGTGAGAGTTTAAGACTCCAACATTTAAATTTCAACCAATTATGAAAGACAGCTGTTCAATACTTAGGCTACAGACATCTCTGACATTAATTTCCTAGCAATGATTATATCATTACAAGCATGTTTGATCCAACTATTGCAACCACCACTTTCTTTCGTTTCTTTGAATATTAAAACACCCATATACTTAAGCTAGAAACAAGAATCAAACTGTGTTAAAGGTGAAGTGAGGCGGCAAACACAAGAACTAAGCTAACCATGTCTTTAGACACTTCCCAAGGTGCACCTATTATCACCTCGTCCACATAACGACATGCCAAAACACTCAAGCTTCTCTCGTGGAGATTCATTATTGGTCGATGAGCTCCTCTGTTGGCACTGTAATGCAACCACAAAGGAAAAACTCATCCATCTTTCAAAATAAAAAAACGTATCTCAAGAAAACAAAATATTTTACTTTGTATTGGTTATATAGAATATTTAAACTTATCAAGGTTCACTTGCCAGATACAACTTAGTAAGCTCATGGTGATAATTTAGATATTACAGACAGTTGCAGCTTTAATGGATAGTAAGGCTCTCAACCCTCATTAAGTGGAGACTGGAGAGAGAGAGAAAGAGAAAGAGAACGTATTTGCAATACTGTGTAGTGCACACATGTTCTGATCTTGTTTTCTTCACACACAACACTCGAGAGAGCTGCAAAAAATCTAGATAACAAATATGCATGCACAAATAATCAACCTACATGTTTTGATATCTTTTCATCACATATAGCACTTAGAGAGAGCTGCAAAAAAATAGAGATAAAATAATGCATGCACAGATAATCTATTATAGCAATATGTTTTAACAAACTTTTCACTGATAATTGAAAAGTTACCAATAATCAATTATGGCATTGAAACCTGAAAATTGATGAAGTTGCTCAAGACGGCAACCATATTAGAGATGAGAAGAACACATGATTTGAAAACGCTCATAACACAATGATAGAAAGAAGCAATGTTCGTATAATTTGAAGCTGACAACTAGTCAACCAAACTGGTAATGAACACGCAATCAGACTAGCTTGCAGTTGCAGTCCAGATTTTTAACCAAAAAATTTAAAAAGAAAAAATAATAATTTTAAATTTTAAATTAAAATATATATATAAATAAATAAATTCACACCTTTAACATGTGAATGATCTGCAGACATTGGAGGAGAATGATTTAATACAGCAGTATTACCACTCCTTTTTTACTTCATATTATTTGCGAATATGATATAGTGAAAGACCAAATTACAGACCAATATAAAATTCATGCGAGAGACGTCACCTGACAGTCAGATCAGTATGTATTCCAACCAGAAGAAAGTCTCCCATACTTCGGGCATGCTTCAAAATCTATGCAACACAACATTAGGATCAGAAATGTGAATTCATGTTGTAATTGTGGAATCTCTAATATTTACAAAGGAGTTGTATGTAAACGTTAGTTGTCAATATTTATTATTTATTGTATTTATTTTTTCCTTATATTATAATGGACCTCTCTTCTATATAAGAAAACTTAGGTTGAACATATTCTCAAAGTTAAAAGATGGTATTAGAGCAAAAATGTCCTGAGAAACCCTAGCTGACAAAGGGATGGAGCCACCTATTTAGTGGGATCTAATCAAAATTTTTGCTTCTTCGTGGGCTTCGTATCTAACCTTTTTTGTAACTGTAACTTAGAATTTTGCCAATTGGGAGGTTTTTTAAACTTTCTTTGGCTTGTGGGGATATCTCATCTCCCACTTCTCTTGTACATCCCTCTTTAGATAATGAAAGTTAAGTTTCTGATAAAAAATAAATAAATAAATCTTTGTAATGTTTGTAAATGAGTAAGAATATTTTATTCCTCTAAAAGTTAGGCCGATCGGGAATCTTGTGAACTGGACTTGGACAGCTTTGCCTTCTCAACAGGGAGGGATGGGAGTAGGTTCACTAGCTCACAAAAATACAGCCCTCTTAATGAAATGGCTGTGTCGTTTTGCAAATTAAAAAACCAGTTTTTGGAGGAGGGTAATTACTGTCATTTATGGAGAAGAGCCTTTTGGTTGGTGGTCCAAGCCCTCAAAGAATTCCTCCATAGGCAGACCATGGATCGACATACAAAGAACAACACCAGATTTTGGCAGATTCATCTATTTCAAAGTGGTTTCGGGGGCTTCAGTTAGATTTTAGGAAGATACATGGATAGGCTCTTCTCCATTATCGGTCTCTTTCACGGATTTATATGCTATCTCTACCAAGAAGGACTTTTCTATTGCAGATTGCTGGAATACAGAGGCCATGACATGGGACATAGGCATGAGAAGGAACCTTTTTGATAGAGAGCTTGATAGGTGGGCGATGTTTACCAAAAAACTTGAAGGAGTGGTTATTGGCCAAGGCAACGACTCCTTATGCTGGAACGCAGACAGTAAGGGTGTTTTTTCAATGAAATCGGCCTTCATGGCAATTACCTCCCCCTCTCCCAAGTTAAATGCAGCCGCTGCATCTCTCATCTGGAACTTCAAGGTACCAAAGAAGGTAAAGGTGTTCCTTTGGACTCTCTTTTATAGGGGTATAAACACAGCTGAAAAAGTCCAAAGGAAATTACCTCAGTGGACTCTCTCACCTTATGTTTGTGGCATGTGCGTTAGGAGTGCAGAAACGGTGGATCATCTCTTCCTTCATCGTACCTTTGCAACTACAGCTTGGAACTACTTGGCTTCTCACCTAGACTTGGCTCTCTATCTCCCAAAGAAAATAGATGATTTTATCGTTGAAGGCTTTGGTGGTTCTTTGCTAAAAGGAAAATCATATATTCTCTGGAATTGTGGTGCTCGAGCCCTTCTATGGCTGCTTTGGAAGGAATGGAATTACAGACTTTTTGATGAGAAAGAGGGTTCTCTTGACTCTTTTTGTGTGAATATAAAGCATACGGCTTCTTGGTGAGCCTCGATCCACAAGAAGGTTTTTGGTAACTATGGTTTTCTTTTGGCTCTTCAGAGTTGGAATTCCTTGATTGCTTAGTCTCTTTGGAAAGGGTCCTCTCGACCCTCTGCCTCTAGGCTGTATTTCTTGCCTTTTTTTTTGGGCTCCTCTTCTTTTTGGATGAAATCTCTTTGTTTATTATAAAAAAAGACACACCCCAATATTATTGAAGATAAGATTAGGGGAATAGTGAGAAAAAGAATCAGCAAGAGAAACCCAGTGAGAGGCCTTAAGCTTAGCTGAAATGAGGCAATCAAACCAGGAACAATACTTTCGTCAAAGATTCTCATATTCCTTTCATACCACATTTCTGAAAGAAAACCTTTGACAGCATTGATCCATAATAGCTGGGCCAAAGAAGATGAGTAAGGAGTCCCACAAAGCAATTGAATTTCGAGAACCCAATCAACATGGAATTGGCAAAACAGCAATGAAAAAATAAGTGATGTAAGTCTTCCCCACTTGCTCTACAAAGAACGCAAATAGAAGGCAGCAAAGCGGCTGAAGGAAGCTTTTTTTTTTTTTAAGAAGATCAGCTGTGTTAAGCTTCCCAAGCATAAGAATCCAAGCATCTGTCTTTTTTAGCAGTGTTTTTTATGATTTTAGACTAAGGTTCTCCTTGGTTCTTTCCACCATATGCATCCTTGAAGGGTTGTCAAGTTTTCTACTCTTTGGGGTTTCCTTGGTCAAGTTCCCTGGTGATTTTTTACCGGTTTCTTGGATGTCCACTTTCAAGGCGAAAATCTTTATGGTTTTTTTTTCCTTTTTCAGTGGCCTTTTATTTTTGGTTGGTTCTTGAGCTTTATTGTAATTTTTTGGGTCACTTGGGTTTAAACGGGAGTTTTTCTAGCCTCTCTGGTATCTTTTCGTTAATTATGAAAGGTTCTATTTCCATTTGTCAAAGTAAAAGGAGCAAGACTACAAGCAAGAACTGACCTTTAAAGGAAAGATTTGGTTTAATTTTTTTGGGTTTCTATTTTTATCCTTTTCTTTTTTCTTTTTTTTTGTTTGGGGGATTGGTGGATGAGTTGGAGGAGGTGCACAAGTATAGTACCAGATTATTTCCTCTTTGTGATTAAACACCATGACAGGCAAAATGTTTTTAAACCCTGTCCTAACGAGGGGAAGAATTTTTTTTTGACAAGGAAACAAAAAAAATTATTAATAAAATGAAACAATGAAAGTCGGAAAAAAAACTTCCATTAGTAGGGGAAAAAAAACAACCCTACCCAACCAAGAACCAACAATCTTTCATTGATAAGGAAAGGTAGAATGAAAAATTATGTTGTGCTCCAGTGGTGCTAGTGTCAAATAAGGAAGGGTAGAATCCAAGCGATAAAAGCAAATTAACTTTGAATAAATATCCATGAACCTTCAAAAAATGAATCACTATTTACCTCCACATGTCCAGCATGGAAAAGATCAAATGCACCGTCTATATAAATAATGCGAGCATCTGGTCCTGGCCCCTGCAGCCACAAGCTTTGTCCTTTTGATGAGAGATTATATAATA